GCGACCTTGGTGAACACGAGATACAAGGCTAAATGTGGTATGGCAGAAAGTAGCGTACCAGCATGTACTATTTTAGAATCGCGTTGTAATAAAAGCGACACAATTTATTGGTATTATAGTGACAGTGTTGTCACAGGTGGTCTAAGTTATCTCTCATTATCTGTCCAAACTGATATAATAATATCAATCGCATTTTTGCATAGATTACAATTATTATTGGTGTCTAGGTTTATATTATTTCCTTTCTTATATAAAGATACTTTTTTTGAGAGGACCTAGGTACGTAGTTATATGTTTCTACACAGATAACTTATATATTTTTCATTATTAATTCATCAAAGAATTACTCGTCTTAAAAACAATATCTTCCTATAATTTGTATTGCCTATTTACTAAATTGCACTAAAATATAAGTAAACACTATCTATCTTCCTTCCTCTTTAAAACAACACGTAAGCGTAGCATGTAAACAAATAGACGGCGGCCATCTTGTGCGGCCATATTGGTGACGGAGACGTCAACGCTTCCGTGACGCGCATGTCAGCTGATAGCGATTCAGTTTATGTTTTGTATCGCGCAAAAGCATGATCTACTAAGAATGGGTACGTACAAACATTTTCAGATATTATGCAACAATGTTTATAACATTCTTATTAGGTATAAACACGGAAAGTATATTCACGTACTTAGGTAGCGATTATGTCAAATGCAACGAAATCTTTTTGAACCCGAAATTGAATTGGATTCAGAGAAATTGTTGAGAGTCAGTAACATTTAGCAGCTATTATTGCTGATTGCCAAGAAATTTTGTTTTGCTCATTTGTTAAGACAAATATAAGCATAATATAAGTATTATGCTGATAGATTCAGTCACAAACAAATGTTTTTATTTCCAGTAGCAGTAGCGTCTCACTTCATTTAATTCTTCTAAGACAGCAATCTTCAATGGAAAACGCGCTAAGTGCCCAATGTACTTACATTAAAATATATTATATAATTATATCATTACATGTTTCAGGCCCAAGCAAGTATATATGCTCAGCTTTGTAAGCAAAATATTTTTTCTAATTACGCTACATACGCATGCTAAAATTGAATGCGATATTTTCATTAGTTTATTTATCTCAACATTACAAATTTCATACAAATACAATTTAATGTTACTGTCACAAATGTCTTCGAAAAGAAATCGTCAGTTTACAAAATAATGACAATAATAATTCATACTTAACACTCTTCTCGTCATATGACATTTTTCCCTCGGCATGACATGTGCATACCTCGCTAACCTATTACACCTCATCTTTTCCGTCACTAAAAAGTCAATTTATGAACAACAATCTACCAGTAGTGAGACTTCTTTGCTTAATAGTTGTTTTGTCAATGTAATTTATCTCTTGCATGAGTGTGTAATGTTATTATTATTATGTTTCTCTTTACTCTGTTGGCCGGTTTTAAGTGCAATCATAATAGAGCTCCTTGTGAAAGAGTTCGTCCAGGGAAGTGCTGACCAAAAGTCTGCTATTTTGTACTTAACGATACTTTAATCAATCACAAGCTGATCTGGACAATGGGGAAAAAGTTCCATTGGTCAGACCAGTGTGACCATCAATCTCGCCAACAGGAAACACGGGTAACGCTCACAGCGTTACTGTGTTTCGGTTTTGAAGGGTAAGGGTGCTGGTGAAAATACAAGCACATGAGACTTGTCCACTTATGTCTTAGAATGACGGGCGCAGTGGCAGTGCCCCTCAGATATTTGCAATTTAAAGTTCTTAACGGCACTGCAACAGTTATGGACAGGCGTGTCGTCTACGTCTACGTCTACGGTAATTATCTACTTGTTCGTCCCATCACTTGTATTATGAATACAAAGATCGAACACAGAAACACTTTGTCGACCCGGTGGAACTTGAACCCGCGTGCTTGCTGCACTATTATGCTGCAGTATTTATTTTACATGATGTATATAAATGCACCGCCTAGCCTAGTAACAATTCCAAAATAAAAACACAATCGAAATACCGATACAGATGGCAAAAAAATAGAATTCTTAAAGTAATTAATATCTGAATTACAAAAAATAAAAGACCTTGGTCATATGATATCCAAAGTAATAAACTACTCGGTAGTTGACGTCATTTTTTTTCTCTCTAGCTTCGGTCTCTCAAAATTGTACCGCTTTCGATAAAAAAATATTTAAAATTTTTTAATATGGCTGCCATGCAAACTTTTTGGCGGCAGATGGAAATTTGCTCTAATTCAGTTGAAAATCGGCATGTGAGGATCTCTATAGGTGTGTAATAATAATTTGCAGTCAAAATTTACTTTTTGCCATTTGTCAATATGGCCATATTGACAAATCTTAAAGATCTCTGGTAAGAATCTTAAAGAGCTATGGTAATTATTTTAAAGTCATAAGTGCCGAGGTTGTAGGCCGAGGTGTAGCGGAGAGCGAAGCCCGTAGCGTCCGCACGCCACCTTACGTAGGTAGTATACGGAGACTCTATTACGGTACAAGATTTCACAATTGTTCAAAATGTAAGGCGTACTAAATAAGATACTGACTTATAGCGTTGTTGTATCTCGACCGTCTGTCCGTTAGATTCTTTTTTCTTGGAAGCTATGCCAAAAATAGAAGTATTTAGGGAAAAAATGCCAGACAATCACTCCAAATTTCTGATCTAAAACTAGGGAATTTCCTGTACCATGAGTACCAGAGTAACGATAATTCTGAGGGCAATACCCAGAATACCGTGACCAGAACCAATAAAAAATTTTATTTGGCTCAAATCAGGAATCGAATCTGTAACTACCTCAAGCGTGAGCATCAAGCGGCCATAGTACTAATCACTGTGCCACCGAAGAGTATAAGCACACCCCGAAACCTGAAACCGAGCACGCGCCGCAGGCCGAGCCCATCTCATCAATTTAAACAAATTTAACCAAACGGTTTTCAGAAAAAAGGTTCTTAAAATAAGAGGCGGGGCTAGTTACGATAGACATCGTCTTCTTCAGGCAGACGCTTGCAAACAAAATTGTTTTAGGACTAATCAAGCTTCAACTTTGCTTACAGTACATGGTTCTGTTATTACTGCAGTTTGCAGTTTGCAGTTTCAACGACACCCTATGGAAAGGGGTAGTTGTGTGTTTTTTTTTGTTGCAAGTGGGGATCGCCCTAAAAAATGGTTGTTATATACTCATGTGCAGACATAACGAAGGGTTTGACTACGTAACGCTGAAAAAAATTTGTCTGATGAATCACCGGCAAATTCGTCACTTAAATTAACGAAACTACATATTATATATTATACTGAAACAAACTCAAATGCAGCCTTAGATGAGTATTCATTTTATTTTAACATTTACATATTCAATATTATCACTAGCAGTAATGCTTGAAAAGCAAACGAGGAACAAATAAATAAACAGTTAGAAAATATACACAACTATTCAAAGTACACCTGTGAGGAAGAAAATCGTTAAATTAAAACAATTGAGCGCTAATGCGTTCACGTGTAAAGTACGTTGATGCTAACACGTGGTATTCTTAGAATTCTGACTGACTTGACACGATTGTTTAGATGCGCAAGGTTAAACTTACGTAAAGCAAATAAAAACAATTTTGTTTACAAATTAGGACAATAAATTTTCAGAAGAAACTAATTGAATTTACGGATAAGAAGGCGGATGAGCTCCACATAATGTCATAACAAAAGTTACATGAAAACACTGCCAAATTTGAAAAGATCTCTTTGGCAATATCCAATACAACGGTGCGCCAGAAAAAAAAAGATTTAAAGAGATTGGCTGCTACACTAAAAAACTAATCTACTTACATAATATTTTCTTCAAATTGCGATCGATATCTAAAATGTCTCTATGCTAAATTTCACGGTACATACATAGATGTAGAAGTCATGTCGATGTCACAAACTAGGACGAAATGCCATTACGGTCAGAATGATCTTATAAGAGTTTGCTTGATGATCCTAAAAGGTGCAATTCGTACAGGTACAGACACAGACATATATCTAGATATGTCTGTAGGTACTGATCAACATATAGATTTTTTTTTTGTTATACGAATAGTTTACAATTTGTGTACAAAATTATAGTAAAAAAACTTATCTCTTAAACCGGTTCAGCAAAGTCTCCATTAATAAATATAACTTAAAAAAGACCGAATAACTACTTGGTAATTTTATTTAAAACAAAGAAATAATAATAAAAAAACTAACACAAAATATAAACTAAAAAACAAGTACCATCAAATATTGTTCATAAATGGAATTTACGAATTTTGGAAAGGACAAATAAAATATATCTACATCTAAATTATAGTTACCTCCAAATAATAAAGCGTTACTTAAATATTTAGTTTTACAAGCAGGCACACAAAAGGCACCTTTCAAACGAGAATTAGGCCTAGGACATTTCAAATAGAATCATCATCTTATTTCTCAAGATATTATACAGAAAGATGTGGTCCTTCGCAGTGCGTCGTTTTTCCAGTGCCACTATGTCATGACTGGGAAACGACAGACGCCTATCTTAATAACTTTTTAAATTTATTCTGAATACCCTCAATGCCAGAAATATAAATATAGTACTGAGGGTTTCAAACAGTACACGCATATGCTAGAATAGAACAAACGTAACACTTATACAATAGTATTAACGTTTCAGGATTACGAAAATCTCTGCCTGCTGGAAATAAAGCCAAGCATTCGATAGGCCTTATTAATAAACTTTAACAAAGTTTATTAATAAGGCCTGGCATAAGACATGGCTATCAAAAATCATCCTATTGTCATTATCATTTATTATCTATATATATCATTTAGTAGCAATAGAGCTTCTTGTGAAAGAGTTCGTCCAGGGAAGTACTGCCACCTTGCCTATTTCTGCCGCCAAGCAGTAATTAGCATTACTGTGTTCCGGTTTTGAAGGGTAAGGGTGCTGCTGAAATTACAGGCACATGAGACTTGTCTGATACGGACTGGAGAGTAGCTTACCATCAGGTGCACGACAAGTTCGTGCCGTCACTTGAAATTATAAAAAAAAACAAATATAATGTGTGTACTGTATGCAATAAGCGTAAAATACAAAATTAATCCTAGCATCACATTATTTTTCCCATACAGCTTATATAGATTATGTCCACGTTGCGCTTGTGCTCATATTTTTCAATCGCATATTATCAAGATTTTATCTAGAGGTTTTCCTCATGATATGACGAAGTTCCACGTAGTTAATGCGTACAATTTAACCCTTATTATAGTTTCTAATCGTCTTTTTGAATTTAAGAAATCATATTTATCTCATTAAGCATTGATGACTGTCTTGTTTAAAATCAAAAAAATGTTTAGTGTGCAAAACATTATCTCAAGTCGATCTTCAAACGCCAGTCCTTTATTCAGTAGTGGAACCAATTGATGAAAATTTAAAACAAAGGCCATCGTATCACAATTCGTCATTCGTGTCACATCAGCTACATTAATTGAGCTTTAGTTGTTTAGTCAACTTTAATACGATGGTTATTAGAATTCTCAATATGTTCCTTTGGACGAAATCGATTAAATAATTACTTGAAGCAAGCTTGCGACGTGCGCGGGAGCACCCGATTGCCTTGAACTCACGCTCGTTATTTTTTGCTGACTCTACAACAGGATACGCGCGGACCCTTTGCCTGTGCCCTTGGAACGAGATGTGCCTTAGAATTTAAGATGGCTGTATGGAACTTCGAAATATTTCTTTAAATAAAGCAGTTATCCGTCTCTTCATAAAAGAATTATGTATCATGTCCTTGGTTATATAAATAAATGATATAGTAAAATATCAGGGTTTTGATAATTTCGGTGAACAATTGAAATTTCATTTTAAAAAATGTGTATGTTTTCTTTTATTCGCACATATAATCTCATTGGGAAGTGTTTAGTAAAAGATTGTCTTTCTATGGTACTAAATTGTCTCAGAAGTAGTCATCCTTACGTAGACTGAATTAATTTAATCACGCGTGCTCGAACTACATATTTCAAAGGATTAAAAGAGTTTTATAATGATGTCGAATTTTTGTCTACAACATCGGAAAATTAATACATTGGGAAGGTTTTTTCTGACGATGCGAGCATTGGAAACCTGATTTTGGAATTTAGAAAATTCGACGCCATGATTGGTTTCTGATTTGTCCTTGTGAGAGAATTCGTCCATTTGCGATTGACAAACGAGGTCGATATCACGGAACATATTACGTATCTAATACGTATTGCACAACACAGTTTCATTACCGATTTCCAGGCAAAAGTATTTACAACGTTTAAACAATTAATTAAATATGAATCATTAATGTGATAACGTTGGAATCTCAAATGATTGCGAGTCCCTTGGAGGACACATTGTGCTCATTGGCTATTGGCTACATCAAACATGGCTGCTGATATATGTAATCTGATGCCTAGACGGTTTTCCTTTTATTACTTCCTGCAGCCGCAAGTTATTCAGTTAAAATGTAGGTACCTAAGGATTAAATGGATGCAGAAAAACATGAAATTCTTGCATTCATCAACAAATCCGGATTAATAATGCAACCATTAATTTGAATGTTAATGTTTTTTTTGTTTTTAATGTACATGTGGGCTACTTACAGAAGCGGATGTTTTGTTTGAAGCGTTGCATAACAAGCGACGTCGGTCCGGTCGGCATGCGTTCGAAACGCACATGATGTTCTCAGGAATTCCGTCCAGACGCGAAACTGACCGGTTAGCACACCACCGACACGCTCGCCGGACACGAGTCACCTGAAAATACCAGACGCCAATGAGATCCAGCGTCCGTACATCGCGAATCGTCCGTAAAGTGGTGCGCGATCTCGTTGTGTTTTGTGTACAATGTTACGGAACTTGTCAGGTGACCCATTACAACGCGAGTACGGAAAATTTGCGAAGCGGCGTGTGTCGCGATCGTCGGTGAGGCACTGATGGCGTGCCGGCCGCCCTCCGCCGGCCGCTCCTGCATTGCGGCGCGCAGCCGCACTCGCGCGCGCATGACCTTGGCATTGAACTTGGCAATGGGCCGGCGCGCGGCCGGAGGCAGCGGCCTGCGGTGCGGGGAGAGGCGCAAGCGCGGGGCCCTACTGATGCACCGGCAGCTGCACCGCCCCTCTCCCGCCATCCTTCCGTCATCGACTGCTCAGCTAATACATCTTGCGATCACCCTTTTCTCTTTTTATTTTAGCACCCCGATGGGCGGTTATCCAGACGTCTGTACATACTTCGCTATTTACGTTCAGAGAGAGGCATTATTTAATTCATCGAAATTTTCTGTTTTCTTTATAGTGACCTTCTTCCGGTAATATGTACTTAGAAACCAATTTACATCGTAACTAAGACGTCAACTATGAAAACAGAGAGTATGGCAAATAATCCAACACAAGCAACATTGTTACGTAGAGCCGCTTTGCTAGCGACGACGACTGATGTAATAGCACTGCAAAAACTAGTCGATCTTGAGAGGTTGGTTACCGAGTCCGCCATCTTTGCGAGGATTGCTTCAAAATGCTCGTTACACTTATTTAGATACCCCGAGATAATTAATTTCAAGTTTCGATATACAAATTTAATACTTCCGCCCATTGTTATGAATGGTATTAGTTTTACAAATAAATTGAAATGGACGAATTGCGTTACGTGCGAGACGCACTTTGGTGAGAACCTAGGTATTGTCGCTACAAAATGAGTTATCCGGGTGATATGGCCTTACACGTGTCGGATGTTCGGGGGGATGTGACGCGGGGAGGGAGGTTTGGAGATCGATGTGACATCGCGCGCAGGCGCGGGCTCAGCTCCCGCTCGAAGCCCTATGCCCTATACCTACATTACCAAATCTGGCTCTACCTCGCCAAATGACGTTGCACATACTTCCTCGCCCAGTGTCTGTATAATTCGCTGAGTATATGAGAAATATTATAAGCTACATATACATAATATGTCGATGCCTTATTGGGATGATCTATTTTTAGAATGTTTCGTAGTGTTTGATCGTTTGATACATTTACAGAGCCACTATTTGACCCTCTTGGATCTACAACTCAATCACTTTCAATCAAGTTTGATTTGGTGCTTCATCTCTACTTCGCGATTATCGAAACGGTACATTTACAATACAAGGGCCTATTATAGACGACTACAGAAGCTAGCTTTTTCGGTTATTCGAATTTTGATCTGGATTTTTCGAACTATTCTCATTTTTATTTTTAGAACTATTAAGTCTAAATTTAATACAGAGAAACTCACAAACTCTCTGATCATTATTATACTTCTATGTAGAGATTCCTCAATCTCGATCTAATTCCGTTTCAATATAACTTGCTCTATACCATGTATATTATTGTATACACTTAACGTATGACTTTATTTACAATTTCATAGAAAACTATAAACCCAACCAGAGACATTGGGTCTCTGGTTGGGTTTTATACTAAACTAAACATTTAACAATCGTACCAGACAAGCTCCACTTTCCAGATATACCTACTATAACTTAAAAAAGTAAAGATTATCTTCGGAAAATTCAATTCTTTATCCGAACGTTGGTTGACTATTGATCGTCAATAATAAATGAAAAAATGCCTTAAAATTTTCCAATTTCAGAAAGAAGAGAAAGTTGAATATTATATAGCTCTACAGATGGTAGAGACGCAATGCTTTTAAATTACTATACGATTGATTACCTATTATTTAAGGTTACTTAACAGTTGAAAGTATACCCAGTCCACATGTATTTGGTAAATTAACTTAAATTAGCACATCATAAGACGGAGAAGTGGGACGACTATAAAGAATATTGAATCTCAAATTCCCAACACGGGAGAGCGCACCTGGCCGTGTATTTAAAAAAAAATCACTGTATTTCTTAGGTATACAGTGAAAAATATTTTTTTTTTTTTAGAATAATAAAGCAGTCTTCTTTTTCCGTAGAGTATGTCTACCAGGCTTTTGTGAGTCAACGTAATTAACTGAATAATGTTTCTCAACTGCTAAGCAAACCTTATTGTAGATATTTCTCTCGCATCTAGACTTTTCCATAAAGCCTCCCCTAAGCGTGGCTGTAAGTCTATATGAGTCGGTCGCCCAGGGAGGCAGCGAGAGCGCGTGGGCGGCCTTGTCCTTGCCCAATCGATAGGCGCGCGACTCTCAGCTGAGCCCCAGTAAACACCTCCGCTTCAATCACGTTTATGACAAATACTAAATGTCGATGTCGTAGTCTTCACGTTATGGTGGTGGATCTTTTGTACTATTATAGTTCGTAGACCACGGGGCTCTCCAACAACTGAGTCTACTGCTAATGGTTCAGACGAACATAACCTCACTCCACTTTATTTGGTTTCAGCGACGGGAAACAAACACATTAAAACTATACAAAATGTACTATCTTTGTACAGACATTGATAATAATAATAATAATAATAATAACGCACGCACTCAACATAGCCCCGCACTAGGGAAACCCTGTGTCGCGGGTGCCATGGACACACACATAGACAACCACAAATTACACCCAAACTCACGAGAGAAATAATTGTAGTCCATACAACTATTTCTCCCGGCCCGGGAATCGAACCTGGGACCTCTGCGTGGCAGTCCGGCATGGTATCCGTTCGGCTACGGAGGCAGTTAAATTAAATTGATAAGTTAAAGGTACCAATTTGGCCCTATATTCACTTAACAGAGAGACAATTTATGGTGAGTAGGTAAGCAACTTCAGGGATTATTGTTGTACACGTTAGATTTTCCGTAATCCCCTCACTTACTAGTCGGAATCGCAATTATACGGTCTAAAATATCCGTCTGTCTTCTAAATCAGACTTCTGAATTCCCTTAATCGCCTCTTATTAAGCTACTTATCTGAAAAAATTTTATTAAATTTTTGTTATTAGAAAAAAAATACCTATATTTTATACATATTTTTTCGGTGTTATTTTATTATTATTGAAATATTTTTATTAATTTTTACTGTAAATACCATATGTTTAATGGTATTAAAATAAAAATTAACGCACAGAAAGTACATTTTCTGCAATAAATTATGCTTAAATTGATTTAAAAGATACGAGAACCATATATTGGTAGCGTATTAGGATATTAAAAAAAATTAACATGGCAAAGGATATTAATGAAAACCAGTTTAAATTACCATTCTCTACTTTGAGTTTGTACAGGTCAGGACCCCACTCTATGGCAATCCAAATATTTAATGCTGTACCTAATTATATAAAATGTGTAAAAAACACAAAAGAATTAGAAGGTCTGCTTAAAAAGTACCTTTTGAAGAATGCTTTCTACACGCTAAATGACTTTTTTACAGAGAATAACACACAAATTGTAAAATAAATTTTTAACAGTTAATAGTGTATGTTATATTTTATTGACATCAAATTTAATATTGTTTAAATTTAATATTGTTTAAATGTAATGGTTACAATGTGTTGGTGTTATTATCATTATATTTGACATAAGTTTGAATTGTAATTATTTGGTGTTATTATCATTGTTATTTTTGACATAATGCTTTTTATAAACTAAATTACTTTTTTTACTGATAATAATACAAAAATACTTAAGTAAATTTTCAAACATTAATACCGTATACACCTATTTATTAACACAAATTTAATTCTGCCTTTATAAACTATTTATTGATCTCAAATTTAACACTACCTTTTTAACCTATTCATTGACATCAAACTTAATACCACCTTTTTATCCTATTTATTGACATCAAATTTAATTTATATTTTAGTCATGTAATGTGTGTATAATCACCATTATATTTTTTAATTAGGCACGAAATGAAATGTATCCTTAACTTCTATTATATAAGTTGTAGTTATGATAGTTAGTAGTCATCATTGTTAATATAATTATTTGACTTAAGCATGAAATGTATTAATTAACTATTTGAGTGTGCTCTCTCTTATGTTGCGATGCCCCAGTGGGGTGCTACATGTCTAAGGGACAAATTAAATGTATTCTAGATCTAAGGAAACCATGTAGAAATGCAATAAATAAATATGAAATATGAAATATGAAAAAACCGGTCACTTGTGTGGAAAAATCGTCTCAAAAAAGTCCTTGATGATTGTTGCTCTGTGGATCTTTTAACCAAGTGCTCTTCTTATTTTAATGTTGGAACATTATAATAATTCAATAAGTAAGTATATTGAATTCAAAAAATCAATAACTATCAAAGATCTTATGGGCATAGTGGCAGCGCCCATAAAATCTTTGCGATTTAAAGCTGTGAGTGGCACTGCAACTGTTATGGATAGGTGTGTCGCTTACCACCAGGCGCACGACTTGTTCGTTCCGTCACTTGGTATTTATTATAAAACAAAAAATCTTATACATGCGTACAAAGTTCTGTAAAAAAATACATTACTATAGGACCAATTTGTGAAATCCAATTTTGTTTTTATTTATTTGTTACAGAGCAAAACAAAACCTTATAACTAATTACAATCTAGCCTTTATACAACATTAATAAGCAATTAATTATAAAAGAGACGTACCAAATATCGGATACTTTTTGAACATTCGAAAAAAATAATATTTAAAAATGTATATTTATTGCAGTCATTTAAATTGCTGTGAATTAAACCTATATCTATTCATTCATTTTATTTATTTTTTTCAGTTCATTTATTTTTTATACCATAATACCATTATTAACCCTTTGTAACCCTATACTGGATATCCATTATCCAGTATAGGGTTACACTATATTAACCAGGGCATGTATTTAAATGATCCTTTTAAATTTGCAAAAGCAGCAGGCAAAAAAAATCTAAACGATCATCTTTTTTAATGATCTCCCATATAAACAAATAATTTGAATATGAAAGATACTATACAACCAGTGACGTAGTTACAATATCGCTAAAATGCTTTAAGTTCTGTATTCGAACTATGTGCCTGCTAGTATGTAACACTGTCATCAAATTTAATATCACTTACAGTACTTTAACAGTGTTTTGAAGTCCGAGCGGAAAAATATACTTGAATGTTGGCAGCGAACTGGAGGCAAAATTGGCGCAGACAACTAGCAAAATATTGGTAACTTACATTGACAAAGTGGTTCCAGTTTTTAAATAAAGATGGTGTTGTTTAGTTTTCATCATAGCGGGGTATCCAGTATTGTGCACGTATCAAATATTTGGTACATCTCCCCTTTAACATAGAAATTGCCCATCGACAAAACAAAGGGGAAGACACTTTGTTTATGTGTTCATAGTCTAATTAACTCTGGCACTAATATTTCTTTTTGTTCACTATAACTTAATGACACTAATTCAAAAGGTTTAGTTCTTTCTTGTCTACGCACTATATCTGTATTGTCTAGTAGTTGTATAGCCTCTATGTTCACGTGATGACGAAGTCTATGTTTGTGAGCTTCGGCGTACTTCATTATTGCTTTAATTCTTGAAGTCCAAATGGAATGAAAATAATGAAAGTACCAATTATTTATCGGTCTTTTTTATCCTTTATTGTATTTTGTATAACTGCTTTACATCTAAATCATAAAGTGTCAAATTCAAAATGTATTTATTAAAAGGCAAGTGAAAATTCTTATTTGGAATCCTCAAATTGTTTAAACACTACTACTCATTGGTAAGCCAGATTCCCAAATAACCCTTGTGTGAACACAGGAAACCTCGTATTAGACAAATGTAAAAATCAAAATGGCGGAAATTGGTACATGCAAAAATGATCCAACAAATAACCCCCGTAACATTTAGCTAGCGTCAATAAACAAATTTTTATTTGTGGGCGGCAGCGGGCTCCCGGTCGATAGAGGCGCGACAAAGATGTGCCGCCCACGTACCCCCGCGGTGGCACGTTTCCCCCGCAGCTTCCCCTGACCTAAATACAGGGGGATGGGGACACGCACACGCGTACTCAATCGCACACTACAGTATCGCCTACTCTACAAAGACCTCTGATAGTTCAATAATAGCTTATATTTACGAAAGTTAAAAATGAATGAACTCATTGAATAGACTTGGGAATAATAAGTAATACCTCATCCCATGCATATTCGAATCCTAGACCTGAGTATAAAATAATAATATATATTTTTGTGAACTCACTATACACCCGTCGGAGATCTTCTTACACTAGCTGTAAACACTCCACGTTAGAGACTCTGTCCATGATATGACATTCGATGGATAATCTGTGTATGTAAACCAATACAGCTTTGTGTATGCTTTCTATATGATTTATATTTCAAGAAAAAAGATTTTCTGGAACAATAACGGGTGTTCCTAATAATTTCCATTAATAAACTAATTTGTTGTTGTAGTTTAAACATACTTAAGTAGCTTACATATATTATAATATATATAGCGTATATTATACGCTACTATATTTCTCATTCGAATTCAGTATTAATATTTTTAAGAAATATGAATATAATCCTTACAGTTCTTCGTACAGGACTTCTTTGTTCAAAGAACTGAAGAAGATGAATCTACATCATTTATATAGCGAATTATAAAAATAATGATCCTGTGACAGAAATTTAAGCCTTGAACTCGGACGATTCAAAATATGAGTAAGAACTTTTCATAAAGATTTAAGTAACTTTTATAAATAATAATGTAACCATTAATTAAATGTAATATTTTGAAGCAGTTACGTGTACTTAAATATCTCGATAGCTTTTTAATAGTACGTTCATAATTTATTTATTCTTATCTAAAAAAAAAACGTAGGTCAATGAAAAAAAGCTTCTGTACACAGAAAGAATCAAATATTTTCTAAATATAGCCATAATATTAGTTTTAAGGCATTCAAATTAGAATACATAGTGAATATTGTATAAGTTTATAATACATTTACGAAGGAGTTGGTGATGTAAGTTACAAGTACAGGCTGAATAGCTGGAGAAAATGATTAAACTCAAAATACTATATGCATACATAAATAGCGGGAGAAGCGAATGAGGCCTAGAATCGACCGGGGTCCATTAGATACATGGAAACCTACTGTCTATGCACCTGTAATATTTGATCCTACAGTCACCGGGAAGGGAAGGGGGAGATGGCGTCATCACGCCAAATGAAACACTCCGAAATAATGTTGGTCGCTAACAATTGACGCACTTTATGAAAAAGTAGAGACGTAATTAAATCTTTAGTGAGTATTAATATCCAACATTGCTGCATTTTGACCTTGTTACAATGTACTGGTAACCGTATAGTTACATTTTAAAAATATTACCAAACATCAACGAGCTATTTGTTCGGACAATTAGCTTTGGAGCGATGACGTGAGCTGCTAACCGCGCAAGGTGAGCTGACTATTTCAAGTAATCGTTTTTAAAACTATTATGTAGTACTGAACGAAGACGGTATATCTACAACCTTATTTACAAGCATAAGCGTCACGTTATTAGAGCCCGAAATAGCCAAGATTCTGTAATATTCAACGGATAGTATATCTTCAAAACACACGCGCCATTGGTTGCGTTGGTATACATAGAGCATAGGTAGCTTGATTACAAACATTGCACAACAGATTGATTTGTGTGTTCAATTGTTTATAGTTTTAATAGCACCTTTTAGTTTAGGATTTACCTTATTTTACGTGTGGGTAGATGTCGGGGTCACTCGCGGCGAGAACTGCGCATTAAGCCCTGGTGGAAGATGTTTCCAGAAGAGGGCGCGTGAGAGGGACCAGCCGACGCGGCGGCGCGCGGCAGAATCGCGCGGCCTCGACCTTGGCCGTCAAACCCGCGCATGCGCCTAGCCCCTTCCCCGCCCGCTCCTCGCCGCCGCCCCCCGCCAATTATGTCATTATGTTGTGCCGCTGAGCTGCTGGTGTTGTTGTTGCCAAACACAGTCACGCTTCGCTGGAGTCCACCGCTGGAGACACATATTCACAACTATACAAAACCCCATAGCAACTGCCTGAATCTTGAGAATAACAAAACAGTACATCTTTCCATCCGTGACTTCACCTAACTGTAACTGATTATAGTTATCGAGATAAGGTTAAAACCTACGCACACAGTCATGTATGCCACATAAAAGTTAACTATGTAGTAACTAAGTATATAAAACTCTCAATTACTTGCATCTAAAAAACGAGCATCTAAGTACCTGATAAAGGTTTTTTGTTCTACGTTGATTTGAAGAGTGAATCATATTCGTGTTTGTCAAGTAAGTATGTAGGCTGTCATCATCATCATCTATAACTTTGAATATGTAGCTACATTGTTATGTACCTATTTTGATATGTTCATACATAGCTGTTTAGGCACGTAGAAATACATCAACTCTACAGTAAGTAAGCACATATTGTTTTCACCAAGAAGTTACTAGAGTAAATAAGGACCCATTTCACAACGTTAAAATGTAATTTTTTTTAAATTATGTAACATAGTTTCTGTAAAGCGTCATATTACCTATACACTTATGAGTATCTATATAAGATGGCACATTTATGAGTACGTACATTGATCAGTCGAGGCGGACCACAATAAAATACCTAAAAAAAGTAAGTTCTAATTTCTTCAATCATCATCATCAATAGTCTATCGCAGTCCACTGCTGGACATCAGTTCGTCATCCTCAGTTCATCGCATCCATCTGCTGCCAGCAGCCTTTCGCAAATCGTCACTCCATCTGGCGTCCTGCAACACGTTTGCTGAGCTGAGTTCTCCACTCAAGAATTTGCTTCCCCATCGTTTGTCGATTCTTCGTCAGATATGGCCAGCACACTGCCACTTCAGCTTGGTTTAATCTACCAGCTATGCAACTTCGAGCATGGCTCGTTCCATAGCTCTCTGAACGACTTTTAACTGTTGGATTAACAGTATCGTGAGTGTCCACGTCTCGGCTCCGTATGTCATAACAGGTAGAAGGCACTGATGCACGATGAACAGAAGTTTTCAAACTTTTGTTTTCAAACATTGCGGTATGTGAGACGAGAATACTCGACGTAGTTTACCCAACGCTGTCCAGCTAAGCTGAATCCTCCTCTTAGCTTCCCTCTCGAAGTTGTTTCTACCTAATCGCAGAATCTGCCCTAGGTAAATGTATTCGGAAATAACTTCAAGAAGGTGCGTAGTCCGTTTACTACAATTAGTCTCGGGACAATGTGATAATTGATCATGACTTTCGCTTTATGTAAGTTCATGCCGAGACCAATCCGTTGCGAGGCGGATGCTAGGCTGTCCAGCATCTGTTGTAGCTCCTTCAGCGACTCTGCCATAAGACTATGTCATCTGCGAATCGCAAGTGTGAGATGTTTTATAGTTAAAAAAAAAATGTTTTAAAGTAAAGACGTTTTAAACGATATAAAATAGAATAAATCAACAGAAGACCCAGAAACAACGCCTATATTTGACGTAGTACCTACTGTACAATTTTGTAGCTGGTATTTACGCACAAAAAGTGACGTAAATGCCAAGATTGTCGGCAGCTTGACACTCGGGCAAATGAATTTTTGTGTAGTTTTAACAATTATTTACTCAGCAATATTAAATTAAAATGCGGTAGCATCCATAGTAAGTTTGTGTAAGTATCTAGATGCGCCATATGTACTAGATCATATACATTGTCTACATACGAGCCCTATTCCCCACCTACGTTGGGGTCGGGCTCGGCCTGCGGCACGTGGTCGAGATTAGGTTACGGATTACGGGGTGTGCTTATGTTATGCTCTTCGGTGGCACAGCGATTAATTAGTATTATGGACGCTTGATGAAGAGGTTCCAGGTTCGATTCCCGATTTGGGTCAATTTAGGAAACGACTATTTCTAAGTTGATAGTAGCAGTAGAGCTGATGAAATTACATGCAAATGGGACTTGTCAACTTATGTCTCAGGGTGACGGGCGCAGAAGCAGTGCCCCTCAGATCTTTGCAATTTAAAGCTCCGAGTGGTACTGCAACTGTTATGGACAGGCGTACAGCATACCATCAGGCGCACGACTCGTTCGTCTCGTCATTTGATGTTATAAAAAAAAAGTTCCTTGTCAAAGAGTTCGTCTAAGGAAGTACTGTCACCTTATCTATTTCTGCCGCCCAGCAGTAATGTGAGCATTATTGCGTTCCGGTTTTGAAGGGTAGGGGTGCTAGTGAAATTACAGGCACATGGGACTTGTAAACATAACATATCTCAAGGTGACAGGCACAGTGGCAGTGCCCCTCCTTCTTTGCAATTTAAAGTTCTGAGTGGCACTGCAACTGTTATGAACAGGTGTGTCGCTTACCACCAGGCCCATGATTTGTTCGTCCCGTCACTTAGTATTATAAAAAAAGTTGGTTCTGGTCTGGGTATTTTGGGTATTGCCTCCGCTGGACCTCGGCCTACAGCCTCAGCACTAATCACTTAGTTATAAAAAAATAAAATAGCTCTTTACTGGGCCCTATATTTAAAAATTGCAAAAATATATTTTGACCACAAATTATTATGAGACAATCCTAGAAATCTTTTCGTGCCAATTTTCATCCCAAGCAAGTTTTTTCAACAGCCATTTACATTGTTCTTGTTCATCGCGTCACTTGGTATTATAAAAAAAACATCAAAAAAAAGGTTATTTGGCCGCTAAAAAAAAAAACGGTGGAAACGAAATTTTTACCCCAAATTATAATTGAAGACATGCCGTGCCATTTTCAGGCGACTTAGTAAATTTTTATCTGCCGCTAAAAATGCATGTACGGTAGCCATATTGGAAAACGGCAAAAAATTAATTTTGACTGCAAATTATGAACAAATACCCACAGAGACAAACCAATTTTCAATCGGGTTAGAGCAAACTTTTATCTGCCACCAACGAACTTTTCTATGGCGGCCATATTTAAAAATTGCAAACATATATTTTGACCACTAATTTTTATCAAATAATCTTTGAAATCTTTTCGTGCCAATTTTCAGTCCGAGCAAAGCAAGTTTTTGTCAACAGCCATTTGAGGCAAAAAAATTACGGCTATATCGAAAAACGGCGGAAACAATCTTTTTTACCCCAAATTATGATTGAAGCCATGCCATTTTCAGTCGAATTAGAAAAAAAAATTATCTACCGTCAAGAAAGATTATATGGCAGCCATATTGAAAAATGACTAATACATGACTAATAAATTTTGACCCCTAATTATTATTAAAAACTCATAGAGACCCCGATATGTCCATTTTCAATCGAATTAGAGCAAATTTTTATCTGCCGCTGAAAAATTTGTATGGCAGCCATATTCAAAAAAGGCGAAAACTAAATTTCACCGCAAATTATTATCAAACACCTATAGAGACGTACCCCTACATACCGATTTTCAGTTGAATTTGAGCTAATTTTTATAAACGCTTGTATGGCGGCCACATTCAAAACTGGCAAAAAAACTAATTATTATCAAGCACTCCTAGAGACCCACACGTGCCAATTTCCAAAGGGATCAGAGCAATTTTTTTTCTGCCGCCAAGGAACACTTCTATGGCAGCTATATTTGAAAATGGCGAAAAACCAATTTTGACTACAAATTATTATCCAATATAACCCAAATTTCGTTCGTATATACATACTGTGAGTCTCCATACACGATCGGATTTCAAATTTCAGTCGGATCGGACTACTTTCGGGCCGCCATTTTGAGTCCGCCATCTTTAAATTTTTTTTACCTGCAGTTGGCTCGTGCTATTCTGTACGAAATTTGTTTCAACGTCTCTCATCTATCTCCAATACTCGCCGAGATATAGGGCTCGAAACACAGTAGACGGTAAAAAATTGATCTCGGCCATATTGGAAAATGAAGGAATAAAAAATGTGACCGCAAATTCCTATTACGGGTTCCCAAACATGAAAAAACCTTTTTGTCGGGCCGCCATCTTGAATCGGCCATTTTGAGAAAAATAATTTCGACAGCCAGTGAGATCCTTTGCCCTCTACAATATTAGTTTGAACACGAGCTATCTATCTCCAATAGTTTACGAGATATAGGCCCCCGAAATTTGTATAGCGGTCATTTTGTTTTTCGAATTTTGATTTTTATTACTACCAGTAGAAATTGCCTAGGGTGTGGATAAATATTTGTTTGGAGACTTTGAGCCAAGACGCATACTATGGCTGGGCAACTGGGGTCATACCTGATGCGGTGATGATACATGTATGGCGGCCATCTTGGAAAATGGTGAAATTGAAATTTCGACTGCAAATTCGTATTGTAAGCCCCGAGATACGACCGGATGCCAAATTTCAGCCGGATCGGAGCATTTTTTTTTGGATCCCAATTTTGAGTCGGCCATCTCCAAAATATTTTGTCACCGGCAGTTGACCCCCACCACCCCGTCTAAGACATTTGGCTGAGCACTCCCCGCCTATCTCCAATACTCGCTGAGCTTTTGAGCTTTGAAATTTGTATGGCTGCCATCTTGTTTTTTCGAGTTTCGAATTACGACACTAATGACAAGGACATGAGTATGATTTCTAGTGCTTTAAATCATACTCAAGTCCTGACTTGAGCATTGAGTAGAGTTTTGGAATACGATCCATAATATAATAATGACAATGACAATGACAATGACAATGCAAATGACAATGACAACGACAATAACAATAATAATAATAATAAAAAAATAATACTATTTATATATATTTTTAGAGTATAAAATATATATATTAATAATAGTAATAAAATAATACTATTTATATATATTTTTTTAATGCTATAACATCAAGTGACGGAACGAACAATTGTGCGCCTGATGGAAAGATACACGCCTGTCCATAACAGTTGCTGTGCCACTCAGAGCTTTAAATTGCAAAGTTCTAAGGGGCACTGCCACTGCGCTTGTCACCCTGAGACATAAGTTGATAAGACAAAACCGGAATGCAGTAATACTCACGTTACTGCTTGGCGGTAGAAATATGCAAGTAAAGTGGCAGTACTTCCCTGGGCGAACCCTTTCCCAAAGAGGGCTGCTGCTACAAAATCACAATCCCTAATTTTGAGGAAATTTCCTGTTACAAAATCTATAACATAATTGTAATTTCAACAACAATCTAATTTGAAAAGCAAATATGCTCACACGTGAATCGGTCGCATGTAAGAAATATGCATAAATCTACTTCACATAGAAATAATACAAAACATCTTGATTACCATTATAGCTCTTAACATCATGCAAGTGTGACTCAGCGCGTGTTGTCTTGGTTTACCTGTGCTAGCGCACATAGTATACAATGTGTCAACAATTTATTTATGCATAAATTATAAAGAATCTTCACGATATGCAATATGATGTCAAACTACAATAAAACTAGTCTGGCATCATACATCTTGCATATTAAAGAGATCTGTGAAGAGAATGATAATAATGATTTGCAGTTTAAAAAGCTAATTTTGGTTTTCTGAGAATTAAATACACTAATGAATATTAAATACAGGTCTCTTAAAAAATCTAACCAACTATTTTGTCTGTCAAAAAAAAGTAACTCTAGTACCATATTAGATATTTTATTTTTACTCTGATACCGTGTTCGGTATAATTATATTTTTGGTTCATAAGGTTTTACTTTTATGCAGTAATCGAATTTAGAAAATAATAATTATAATAATAATAATAATAAAATACCAGCAATCTTTTTCAATCACCTCTTTATTTCTGCATCACCCGTATTCAAAATTGTTATTACACGTGACTCAAATTGATTGTCAGAAATGTAAGTTTAAAAATGCATGTTTTTATATACATGATAAATTTGCTAATTCAACAAGAAATTGCACATTGAAAATAATACGACTGAAATAGTAAGACAAGTAAAGACGAAATTTGAAGTTACAATATTTAATTTTCTTAATTTTGCATCTGATCTGAGTGACATCTATGCGAATGTTTTAGTACTACAACGATTACATAATACTTAGTGGAGATGAGTGTCGTAATACCAATACCGTAGAAATACAATGCGTGGCAGTTAGATGGCGCTCTATTCAATTAAGCGTTTATAAAATTGCAAATACAAAAATAAAAGTAAATCTAGCTCCCTTTATACGTATATTTTAAGTATAAATCGCTATTTGATAATTAACAATATTTATTTTACAAACGCAGTTTAATGAGCAAGGCTACGTTCGTGTTTTAAATGCTTCCTAAATACCGTTATCTAAGTGCTCGAGCTCTACATTATTGTAATGGTTCATCACCAAAAGTGTAACAACTCTCTGAAATTGTAATGTTAGGCAAATATAACATGCGTGATAAAGCATAATTACATAAAAAATAAACAATAATAATTCACTTTAAAAATACTTTTAGGTTGTGACATAGGTTTTCGGTTATCTACTTATTAATTTTAATTAATTTGAGGATTTAAATTTTTATATTACCTTTAATATATTTGAAAATTGCAAGTAATTTATGACATAGTATACGAAATTAATAGTTAATTAAGTTATAGTTAATGTAGTGCACGTAGAGGGTTCATGTGTTGGAATCTTTTATTTAATTTCGAACTATACAACATTATTTTGTACTTCCTTAAAAATAATCATCATTTTGTTTTATACAATGAAAAGGTAGCCTTACTACTTTATTTATAGCTGTTTTGTTATGTGTAAACTTATTGTTACCTCTTCAAATAGGTCAACTAAAGCCTATTTACGATTGTCATTTTAACGTTAAAATTTGGATATTCCTAGTTTTATTTAAAAAAGTTATTAATGTCATTTCACTCATTAGGTAACGTACTTTCGATATCAATATAAAGGTTTTTGATATCTCTTATATTTCCGGAATAATCGTATCCAGGCGATTATGAGAAGGGCTGTATATGAGAAGGGCTGTATATGAGAAGGACCTTCGCGTATGCTGGCAGCTTTCCCTTTTTAAATGGTTATGCTAATACGTTGAGAAAGGTAGACAAACTTTGGATCTTCAGTCGATCCATTATTTTTTTAGTAAGAAAGGGTATTGGAACTCTAGAGACTTAGAAATTAAAATCTGCAGAGTGCGAATAAGTAGCCGGTGTTAGGGATTCTGGTATTTTTTACTTTTTATTCTTTGCACAAAGATACCGATACAGTTTCTTGCTGATGCTTGGACAGATCCAGTAAACACGATGCCTGCAATGTCCACATACTAGAGCTACAAGGACGAAATGCTTCCATAAAAATAAAACATTGTTTTCTTTTATATAAACAGAATTACTAACTTTTTTTAAGGTACGTCGTAATTCCAATTTGTACATTTAAAATTGTTTAGTTTTCTTAGTCTAAATTTTAGAAGAACATTGCACAGTTGACGGCAGGTTAGCTTCTAGATGTCCTTGCGTTGTGTTGGATGCTATTGTTATAGTTGATGTGTTCTTATTTTCGGGATTAGTATCTTCTATGCTTGATAGCTTTGTTCTGAAAAAAAAAATACAGATGATAGTTTTTTTAATGTGAGGTTATTGCTCCAGAGTACATCTTGTTGGCTTATTGCTGTTATATTATATGTTGGTGACTTGTAATGTATTTGAAGAGTTCTGAGGCATGTAGTGGTTTTCATCATGCAGGTTTCCTCAGGATGTATTCAGCAAGAGATTATAAATAAATAATAATAAATTTAATAAAAAAATATTATAATTGTGTTTTAGTGCGTAGTCACTCGAGTTGTAATGAGAACACTTTCGAGCAGCGACTACACCCTGAAAGTTCTGATGTAGCTTCCGTTCGTGTACCAACTGTTACATAAACGGAAACTACCGGGTTAAATGTCTAACACAGTGATCGATAATTGTAATACGAAAATAAGAAAAATTAATTACCTAGACTTCAAAAATACTGTACACAGATTGTTGACAGGGGCCTCAGCCAATAGCCAGATAATAAAAGCAGAAAGACAGCTCAACATTAATACACCTATCCCTTCGGTGAACTGAAATATAAAGTTTCATCATCATCTATATATATACGAGTGTATCTGTTTGTCGATTTATCTTTGTTTTGTTTTAAAATATTTTTAGGGGACTGTAGATTTAGTTTTAAATATGTATTTTTTGAGTATGTAGGAACTGTTTATCCCAAAAAAAATCATCAACCCATTTATGAGTCCCACTGCTGACCACGGGTCTCCTCTGAGGTGAGAGTTTAGGCCATAGTCCGCCACGCTGGTCCAGTGTGGGTCCCACTTCACACGTTTTCCGAGAGTCGTGAACCTTTTTCGATGAGTAGGTTTACTTACGATTTTGCCTTCACCGAAAACTTCATGGTAAATTTCACACTCTCGAAACTCAGAAGTGCGAGCCCGGGCTCAAATCCACGGCCTCTGCTTGAGAAGCGTGGTAGCCTGATTAATGGTTTGACATAGCCACGGTTATCCCGACGGTTAATATAAAGTTTAAAAAATATAAAATGTACAATACAATACACAATACAAAAATTCTTTATTGTACAACAAAAAAGGAAACAAATACAATACAATTAAATTAAAAATAAGCGGTAGTACAATGGGCGGTCTTATCGCTTTAAGCGATTTCTGCCAGACAACCTTTGGATGGAAGTAATTATATAATTCACAGGAAAAAGACGGCGGTGTATGAAGAAAATGTAATTATTTAATTAAATTGGAAGAGATTAAAAATAGTCCTAGGTTAAATGTAATAAGAAATTAAGAAACAGTTACTATCATACATAATTTAAACTTTCTTCGACAGCAAAAAAAGGTGTAAGCTGTTGAGATTTCACAGATGTGACTTGTCTGATCCAACCATTGTAATCTATGTCTATAATTATTATCTATTATAATCTATGAACCAAGTAATCATGTTAAATATTGAAAATAAATAAAACAAAATTGACTAATGCTTTTAGATCATTTCCTTACGTACCAACTGCAAGTAGTCATTATACCGCGATCCTCGAGTAACGAACACGTTACGTGATATGAAGATGCAATGTGTCAAATACAAGCCGTATGTCAGCCTGCTCAATGGAACCCATGGATACCAGCTTAGGAATCCTTGTACTAGCGCTGAAACAGAAATCCATTTATTGTCTACAGTGTCTTTACAGATGAGTTTTTATTTAAGTAACACGCTTTTAAATAATCAAGTAGCGTTTTTTAGCTAGATCCTGGATTATAACAACAATATAATTAATTAAAAAAATTTAGTCGGTCATTACAAAAATAAAACATTCTGAGTACCCATTTACCCAGAATGTTTTATTTTTGTAATGACTGAACAATTTTTTGTTTTTTTTTAGTAAAACACAAATAATAATAAACTTTAAGTTATTACCTAATATATATATATATCGTATAATAAATTATAAGATATGAACTCAATATGATACAATGAATGTGTAATTCTCATTTAGTAGCAGTAGAGCTGCTTGTTAGAGAGTTCGACCAGGGAAGTACTGCTGACAAGCAGTAATGTCAGCATTTCAATGTTCCGGTTTTGAAAGGTAAGGGTGATGGTGAAATTACAGGCACATGGGACCTGACACGTTATGTCTCACGGTGACAGATCTGTTTATCAGTTACAGCTCGCTAATGAGTACCCGTTTTTAAGCGTACTTTTTTCTTGGCTTTTCGCGTTTTGACTGTAATTTTTTTTTTTCAATTTGCACTCATTTATTTGTGTAGGCAAGAGACCTTACAGCTTCTTCTTATACAAAGTAAGGTCATAAATGTGAATTGGCTACCATTTTGTCAGAAATGAAAAATAATGAGTTCTGTTTTCACGAAAAGTTTATTTGAAGATGTAAAATAGATGACATTAAGTTGAAAAAATTGTACCGGTCAAATGACCGCCTCCCGAGTTGATGCATATTTGTTAAACTTGGTGTAAGAAGAGGATGATGCGATGAAGCCTATTTCCACTTATGTGGTTATGGTAACAAACAAAATTTGCATTTCCGGGGCACAGAGAACAAATTGAAAGAAATTGCATCTCCTGAAAGTGACTGTTTGGTGTGGCATTTGCAGTGAAAAAGTTATTAGTTCTTATTTTTTGGAAGCCGATGAAACCACCGTAACTGGTGATCGTTACAGGCACATGTTAAACGAGTTTTTTCTCGCAAGTTACTGAATTGAGTCTCGAGCATTGTTGGCTCCAGCAGGACGTAGCAACCGCTCACACAGCTCGTGCAACTATGGAGTTTTGGATGTAACGGCGCCAGACTCTTCTTTTGGGGCTTTTTGAAATCTCACGTTTACCACAACAAACCTCAAACCTTGCAACTCTTAAAAGCTAACATTAACAAAGATCTCAAAAAAAAAAAGACTATTCAAAATGCCGTAAAACTCTCGGCAAGGTTTTTTGTAATAAATATTATCTTGTAAAAAAAGTAAAAATGTATAATAAAGTAAATTTATTGTATTTAATCAACTCTCACAATCTTTAATTTATTGGGTAAAACTTGGGTAAATCTTCTACATGTTTTCGAAAATTTGCACTAACACAGTTCTTGCTCTTCGGCCGCCATGTAGAGCATGAGCTGAATAAGCAGCTGATACAGAACCTTCTTTCAGCTTGGAGTTCATCTTTCCAACTCGGTAACATACAATCGTGGGATCAATTCCAAGACGTCTTTCTTTTGAAAGTAGTGTCTATTTCTTATTAAATCAAATTTTTTCAAAAGTTCGGACGTTTCATGAATTAAAGCAGGTCTAGAAAATCTAAACGTCAAATAATTTTCGTTCTTACGAAATTTTGTAACGAAATGGAACCATGGTAAGAATCGCGCAAAACTTCGATCGGAATTACGTTTTTCGTTGAATTAGAGCAGAACCTCCTGTCATTTAAATATTCTTCTACGGTGTAGTAACACTTGTTAATTTAGGGGAGAGTGGTATTACCGCGTGGCTGATAATTTCGCGCCTCTGTATATCTTAATAACTACACGCTATTTAAATATTTTATTGAATTGATATTCAATATTTTTTATGTGAAATTACTCCACTAGTTTGTTATAGTTATAACTACACGCTACTTAGAGTTTACAGTGCCCCAGTATCATATTAATATTACAATTGTGTTAACATATTGGAAAGATTAAAATATTGTATAACTGGTCCGCAAAATCATTTTGGAAATACAGTTTGCTTTTTCATATTATTTTGTGGTTTGGAAGCAAAGTGACTGTGTTTGACAATTCCGCGATTAGAGCACGGTATTATCAGATTTGGGCACGGGATCGTAAACTATGAACATTTTATTTGGCAAACATGTTGCATGGAAGGGAAGAAGATAATATTCTAGACTTTTATTACAAACACGAGTATATGCCAACTTAAAAATTTGTTAATGTATTCAAATCATATAAATTTATTGGGGCACGGTTTTATTAAACCTGAGCACGACAGTTTGATAATACCGCGTTTTCCTATTTGTTCGTAAATTCGCAACAACTGCCTTTTGTATTTGTTTATGAAGATTATGCTATACTTGTAGACAAATAAATTACTTATGACCATAAATTTTGTTTTTAACAACCAACCCTGAGCTTAATTATAGGCCTTATTGCTTAGGGGCTCGGTATTACCCAACTCTCCCCTAATAGTTGTGTTAACACATGCTTGAATCGTATTTTATTATTTATTATTGCGTCTGGGATTCAATTGAACAATTTAGGTGCCATATCGACAGCGCTATTTTTGATTAAGGCCGTTTTACAAATAATTCTTGGAACCATATTTTCTCTGAAAATTCGCTGCCCGAGTTGTATCGTTACAAATAAAGATGCCTCCAAGGAAGTGTTTCGTGCGAATCCTTGGAATATCCACAACACAGAGTTTCACCTCACGCCAAGTCTAATCTCGATCTAGTCTAGGTTAATAGTAATTTGTTAGCTTTTTAAATGAAATACTTACGAACATGTCCTAACATGCAGCACAAAATAAGTAATGCCAATCCGCCAGCCCAAATTGCGCGATTCAGAGCAGCGTATAAAGCGCCCTCAAGTGGGTGGTACGACCTCCAGAGATATGTCGGTCCTAATAGCATTATTGTTAGCATTATCGCAAAACCTGCGCTCGCGCCGATTATTGACCATGTCTGGAATAAGTAAGATTGGTATTAATAGAATAATTTTAATTTATGACCGATTTTCAGTAAGAAGACAAAGTAATCAGAGCAAAATTGGTTTAAATAATAAAGTCGGTATTTCAGAAAACATTATTTGTAAAATATTGTTTTTTTCCAATAGTAAATTATACTCGCTTCTCGTTGATATTCTTAAAAAAGAAATACCTTTGAAAGCCTTTTGAGATTTCCGGTCAATCTACACGCAGCGTAGAAGTAACCGGCAAAAAAGCCGATGATATAAGGAGCAAAGCGAGTGTGACTCTTAATATAGGTTACATGGAACTGTTTATTCGCTCGAGGGTCTCTGACGAATCTGAAATAAAACAACGCTATTAAATCAGTAGAGATCAAGTTCTGAAAAGTCTGTATGTGATCAACGATTGAAGTAAAAGCAAGCAACTAATAAAATACCTACTGTTTACGTGCACTACTTGTACTACAATCATACTATTTACGTGTGATGAAAAACATTGTATCTTTCACAGGTGGTACGGGAATTACGAACCTCGACTCCGAAAGCCCTCAGTCTTCGGCTAGGAGCTTCTAATACAGTCTCGTCGTAATTCCTTATTTACCGCCCTTAATACACAATGTCCTATTACATTAATTTCAGCAAGCTCATGTGAGATGTTTGATGATATACACAATATCCTAGGGCTCAATTTTATTGCCTTGGAACGGAATGGACTAGATTTGGGCAATTCCCGCAGCTACCATATCGTGTATACTAGATAATAGCAGTAGGGCAAAAAAGTTCGTCGTGAGAAGTAATTTCACCTTACCTATTTGTACTGCCAACTGTAATGTTCAGCGTTAATTACAACGTTCCGATTTTGATGGGTAAAAGTGCTGGTGAAATTACAGGCACATGGGACTTGACAACTTATGTCTCAGGTCTAAGGGCACAGCGGCAGTGCCCCTTAGATCTTTGCGATATAAAACTCTGAGTGGCACTTTGACTGTTATGGACAGACGTGTTGCTCACCACTAGGAGCGCGACTTGTCACTGGGTATAATAAAAAAAGAGATATAGGTATAATACAGAGGTAAGAAAAATTTTCCATTTTTTTTATAGTGGCCTCATAAAGTTGAAGGGATTAATGGATTTAATTACCGTATATATCAAATTGCATTACTTTGATTTAATGAGCTGCTTACAAACATAAATAACTCAATGGGATAATTGCTCTTTATTCAAACAATGGAGCCATTACGCAATATCCACTTAATGTTTTTTTCCCTACAACTTATGTAGTGAAAAACATTCATATTTTTTTCCATTAGTGTTCATACACATAGCTTTAGTTATAAAATAGTTGCAAGTTGCGCTATGGTACCAATATGCATACATGCAATGTTGAAGATTAATTTATTAATTGATTTAATTAATAATTAATTAATTGTATTGTGAAAAGAGTGTCGGACCACTCGAGGATATTTCAATCAACTCATAGTATCATATTCCCATCAAATTGTTTGATCGTAAGAAGAATAAATTTAGAACTAACGACCTAAAATAGAAGATAGTAAACTCCAAAAAAACTTTTTATGTAAAATTAGTTAATTTTTTATTATACTCCGTCCAACCATTTATTTAACTTTTGACATATGCATGCCTCCGAAGTTCCGTAATTATTGACATATAAGCCACACCCCGGACACTCCATACAAGGGTCGAAAATTATTTACTAAATTATTTACTACTACTACTACTACATACAGCAAGGCGCTACCTGCACACGCGCAAATGTGTGCGTGAAGTGGTAGGGTTACCCACATGTTACCCATCACTTGCTCGTACTATTTATTACGTTACGTGGTCAAAGCGGTAATCTGTTATCTATAATTCTATTATAGAATCCTAATAATGACACATATTCATTACGTATTTAGATCGATATAATATTATATTTTTCATTAATTCACTAACTGGAATAATATTGAAGATTTATTTAAAAATATATTAAAAGCACTTAAAATGTTATATTTTGGATAGGTACCTTTAAAGAAGGTAATCAAAGTAATTGAAATTGCGTGTCCAAGTTTATCATTACTTAGTTAATAATTAGGTATATTCACTACGTAATATTTTATCGGCAATACAAATTGAAATTTCGAGAACCCTTCTCTAGCTCAGGAAGTTATGGTATCTTATTATATTGATATAATAAATCTGTATTATATATTACTCTGCACTAAAGAAAACAATAACTGAAATAGTCTCAGACATAAGTTTTTTTTTACTTACTTCGTTTCATCTTTCAAAAAACGAAAAAAACCCTCTTTTTATCCTATTTAGATGATTATAAACAGCCTTACACAGCACAATTCACGACCATTATAAATAGTAACGTAAAATGATGTTATATATTAACGTACAAATTTCGTAATGAGAAAATGAAAACTATATTAAAATATCAAAGCCGTCTTAGAGCGAAAGCGGCTCGTCGTCAGCCTTGTTCTCGTTCAGTCAATGTGACCGTCAATGTGCGGGGCGTGGTGCGGTATCTAGAGCTAGGGAGGGGCGGAGAGTGTCCGTTCTCATTACTTATTTGTTCTCTGTATAAGCATAGACAAAAAATGCAATACTTCCTGGACTCTTTTATTTTTTAATTTTAGTGAAGCGACGTGTTCTTTAGCTCCGATATTTATCGAATCAACCAGATTATGTAACGAAGATTATTCAAGTTGATAAAATTTGGGTCTAATAAATTATAATGAAATAAAATTATTTATACATAAATATAATAAATTTGTATTGTTTATTATAATGAAACGGTTTCTCCACATGAACGGGAATCATCACTTGAATCCTCATTCACATTAATTATTATTTTTTGAGAACACCAATTGTCATACGCAACATCACGATCCCAATGAGACAATATGTTGTTTTTTGAACTCGCTCACATTCACGATTTAAACTTCTACATAAATAAAATCGATGGTTATAAAGCAATCGGAAATCGGAAACGCATTAGAACAGTACTAATTGATCAGAATTCGAGCTGTCAAAAGTTAAATAAATGGTTGGACGGAGTATAGTTATAGACATTGAACAACAATCACACATAATGTGAATGTAGCCTTAGAAGATATCCATTCACTCTCATCTTGAAATGGCCCATGTTGTCTACAAAAACAAGTATAGAAATACCTATATTATATATACCCATGATATATTAGTAGCAGTAGAGACCACCATATTTATTTCTGCCACCAAGCAGTAAAGTGAGCATTATGGCATTACGGTTATGAAGGGTAAGGGTGCTGGTGAAATTACAGGCACGTGAGACTTGTCAACTTATGTCTCAGGGTGACGGGCGCAGTGGCAGTGGCCAAGATGTATTTGCGATTTAAAGTTATGAATTGCATTGCAACTGTTATGGCTAGGCGTGTCGCTTACCACCAGGCGCACGACTTGTTCTTCCTGTCACTTGGTATTATTAAAAAAAAACTTTGTGTCTCAGGGCGCAGAGGCACTACCTCACAATTCATTGCAATAAAGTTTTGAGAGGTACTGCAACTGTTATGCGTAGGCGTATTGTTTATCACTTAACATACTATAAGAAAGTAATAAAAACTGTCTTACTCGTAAACGAAAAGCTGCACAGCAGGCAAATGGCTGATATAGTTAATAATCCCTGGTGTAAGAATAGACGCAGTGGCGAGTATCACAGCACAGCTGATGCCGAGTCTTCGATGATGATTATAGATCCAATATACCAGACTGGCCACTAAAGTGTAATGGAAGTCACAGGGAATATACCAGGAGATGACTATGCACTAAAACAATATAGCAATTTTAATAAGTTGCCAGACAACCCTACCAATTACCTGGTTGCAATCTAGGGAATTTCCTGTACTATGAGTGCCAGACTAAAGGAATTCACTTTGGGGCACTTTCCAGAACATCCAGACCCAAACCAATTTAAAAAGGTTAATTTACAAAAAATAAAAAGTTAAACCAGCGCACACAGTGAAAACCGTTAGCGCCTATTTACATAAAGCGAAAACTTTCGACGACTTTTGGCGACACGGCGCCTACATTTGTTTCTCCCGTGAGTTTGGGTGTAATTTGTGGTTGTCTATGTGTGTGTCCATGGCACCCGCGACACAGGGTTTCCCTAGTGCGGGGATATGTTAACTATGTGCGTTATTATTATTATTACAAAAAGCCCACCAGTGGAGGGAATGTATACCGTGTCCATAAGTTTTTCCCGCAGAGCGGGACCCTGTACCTAAATTGAGTACAGTTTTAAAAATCAAAGACATGTTTATGATAGTTCCGAAATGTTTAATGTTTACATAAAAGTGAGAAGAACTAAAATTGTTTGATAAAACACAAATTTTAAAAAAGAACTAATCTTGTGGAGTCTGGTGCTCGATGAGTGGTTGGCTGGCTTTATATATTTTTCGCTTTCGCGCTTGTTACGTGTGTTACGACACTTTTAAGTGTTTTGGGGACGTCATGACACGAAGCCTAAAAGCGGGACTGTCCCGCTTAAAGCGGGACGTATGGTCACGTTAGGTATGTATAGATAAAGTTGAACAACTTTATTCTTAATGATACGTACCTTTGATCTAATAAAGCCGCATGTGATCATACATTACGTATATATGAAATTTTATAATTTTCATATTTAAGTTTAAAAACATCGACTAGTTTCGTTCATAGAACCTTTAAACTTAAAAAAAATTGTAATTTTGTAGATGTAGCCTTACACACTTATTATATGCTTATTATTGTGCGAATATTGAAAATTTTAAACTTGAAAGTCGACGCATAATGTGATTATGTGGTGTTGCATATAGTTTAATATGAGTATGCTTTCAATCTTTCTTCCAATCTTATTTCAATCTTTGGCGCAACGGTAATCTGGTGGATCAGTTTTTGTACGAGCTCCTATAAAAAATTTTCATTATAGTGTAAATATTGCAAATTTGTTATTAAATTTGTAACGTAATCCATTATACCTTTCCAAATTATCAAATTATCATTTTGTAGTGCATTAGGTGTGTTTTTATATCGAATTTAAACAAATAAGTGTTAAAGGTCTTAGTGCGTAAGTACCTGCGAATATTTTGTGTGTTCGCGCCCCGCGAGTGAATTTCGCCGTACCGCCGCTATCGCGTGCGCAGCCCAAGTGTGATAATTGCGTGCGTGCCTCAATCTCGCGCCTTGTGCGCTACGTCAGCGAACAAAGAGTAAACTACGCATTAGTGTCACCTACACTAAACTACTCAGAGACGTCTCTCTGGGGAATTATAAAGTAAAAAACAGTTTCTAATTTTCGATCTTTGTATTAATAATTATAACAAACTGGTGTAGTGGTTGCACAAAATTAATTGAATATAAATTCAATAAATTTAAAAACCGTAATCACAAAATTTACATTGACATAATGAATTGTTTAGCGTGTAACAATAAAATAAACCGAGGAGAGGTATTAGCCTGTGCTACCTGAAAGGGATGCTATCATTATAAGTGTATACATATGACGTTGAACACCTATACTGCCAATAAACATAACTGGCTATGCCCTTCGTGTGTAATGGCTACGAGACGTGTTCGAGGCGATGAGACACCAACCCGTAGACAGTTCGAGCAGCTCCCAGTCGAGGCTGACATGTCTTGCGACAACTTAGCTTCCGGCTGCATCCCGACTAATGCTGGTGACGAATCGACAAGCACCAGTAAAGTAAATATTTCTCAAGTTTTAAAGGAGTTGCGAGCATTCAGGAACGATATAGTTGGCATGAGGTCTGATATTCAAAGAGTGACTGATAGCATTCAGGAAATTAATAAAAAATTTGGTGAAATGGAATCTCGTTTCAGTGACATTGAGGATAGATTAATAATAAATGAAAACAAAACGGCGTTGATTCCTAAATTAAAACAAGACCTAGAGTCAGCTAAAGATTCGATATCGTCATTAGAAAATGAGTTACAGCAACGGGACCAACTAGCTAGCATGAATAACCTCGACATATCCGGGATACCTATTGCTGCTTGTGAAAACCTCTCAACGCCAATACGTGCCATATCTAATAAGGTTGGTTACTCACTAGACGACCGTGACATCGATGATGTTACGCGTGTACGGAGGTTCGAAGCGAGCAGTGTGTCTTCAGAATCAAGCATCTCTCGTCCGCCGGTCAGCATTGTAAAATTCACTCGGCGGCTGTGTAAGGATAAATTCCTAGCAGCAGTGCGCTCGCGACGTGGCCTAACTACTACCGATGTAGCTGACAAGTCGCTATTAAGATTAAAAATCACATCACTGAACTTACGTAAAATAAAACTAATACTATGTACTACTATGGATAAATAATGTTCAAACCGTTTATTGTGATTTCTTTGTAATTTTTGTTGTCTGTTACTGTAGTGAGACTTGTCTTGTTGTATTTGCACTGCTTCCTCTTGTTTGCTTTTAGCTAGATGGTTGTGAGGTATACAAATAGATTATAGGTTCTCCTAGTAACAAGTGAGCGGTCTTGAGTCTTAAGCTTTATAATGGAGTCAGGAGTCCTACAGTAAAACAAATAAATAATGATTGGTGCTTAACATTTACGTAATACCATCAAAAATGTATAATCTTTCTATAGTAATATGTAGTGGCAGTATAATATGTTGTTCTTACCTAAAGTTTCTGGCCTGGTATGCAGGCCATTCTCATTCCTCTTGATAAACGGTGACACTCACTTTTGACATCACTAGATTTGATTGAAAGAATATTGACTAAGATTCATGTTATTGTTTGAAGTGAAATTTACCTTATTAATATTTAGATTTTATTATATTTATAGTAATTAATTAATTGTAATATAATTAGTTAACTATTGTGCTTACCTTAAGTGGAAACCATGTTTACCTATGCTATTTCCAATGTACATCTTTCCGGTTTTCGCATGCCGTGATAGCAATATTATTATTATAAATTGGAAAGAGCTGCACTGGTTCACTGATGGATTGCAAAAACTATACTTCTTTTTATTTAACATGTGTTTCTCACTCAATGCATTGTTAATAATTGAATAATGATTGTTTAATTCAATTACGTAATGACACGACCGGTCCTGAGCGCAGCGAGTTACCTCTGTGTGCATTCTTGCAGTGTTCGGAATACGAAATACGCATATTGCTGAATATGTTTGTTCTGTTTCGTTGTTTCTGTGCACGAATTTTTTGTGTTGTATGTGTTATGTCTATATGTCTGTGGCTATATCTAGTCATAACTTAAAGTTGTTTATCAAAGACCACATAAATGCTTTTCTTTCTTCCGTGTTGTTTATTGTGTATCAGATTGTCTGTTTACCTATTTTTTGTTTTATTTAATGTATATTTAGAGGACTATAGGTTTATTTATAAGTTAATTTTAAAATATGTATTTTTTTATATTTATATAACTGTTTGTTCCTCAATAAATTTCAAAAAAAATTGTATACAGCACATTTTCCGTTTGTCTTTTATTTCTAATATACTCTACCTACAGCATGAGATCCCTTAAACCACATAAAAGTATGTTTGTAAATAACTCGTAATATAAATTATCTTACTATGTTCTCACTGTCAACGTAGTTGCTTAACATGAGCAAATTGAGCCACCAATTTTTCCTGCAGGGATCGGTCTCGCCTGCCACAACTCGGTTCCAAAGCGGGCCGCTGCCGAGGTATGGGAAGATCGCGCAGTAGCAGAATATTACCACCGCAAAGGCTACTGATAATCTAAAACATGAAAAATATATTATAATTTCTGAAAAAGTGCAATTAGTCAAGTAAAAATTAAAACAGTGCACTAAAGTTCATCTGAACTGACAATAGAGTCTTATAAATTATGAAAAGAATTGTATCTATTGCGTTTTGCATATTAAGTGACATAGATGGAGGGAGTTAATTTTTATACTCTTAAGGCTGTCTATAAGTAGATATTACTGAAATTCTTCTAGTTTCAGCTTTCACGGACAAAATATTAGTTTTATTTGATAAAATTATGGATGACAACTATGTATACGATACAAAATATATCGACATTGACAAGTCATCATGCAAAGGTATTGTAAGTTTACGACAAACAAATATAGAACTTGGTAGTACCTTATGTATCTCTTCACAATGATTACAAAGGGATTAAAAATTGACTTTTTGATTGTCTTGAATGCGGAGGCGGCAAGGAAACCAGACAAAAAGAAGAATGTATCTACAAAAAGATCGTCGTGGAGAACAAACATGCCAAGCACTGATAAAGAGTCCTAAAATAAAAAATAATAAACATATATAAGTCGTAAGAAGCTACACAGTAAATGATCTATTGTGCTGTTAACGAAGTAGGATACAGGAGGCAATGACAGCAACAAATGACATGGCCACCTCACAGGAGATACCGAAGGCGTATAAGGACAGAAAAGAATAATTGTGAAATTGTAGGGTGCCCCTAAGGTGCTTGCAAGAAAGAGCCCTGAGCAAATACCTATTCTATGCTATTACAATTTAAATGAATACTTTGATGACAAATAAAAATAATACTATTATAATAAATTTGAATAATAAATTAATCTTAATTATATACTATACAGTTATGCTATTGTAATCTAATTAAATTCAAACTTTCAAGTGGCATAATTCTGCTAATAACGTGACGTATTTCTTATTGTATGACAAACTTTTTATTTTATATTAATATTTGATAGATAACAATTCTAATTAATAATTGAAATATCGGCCTACATCTGCTTTTGTTGTTATCCCTAATAAAGGGCTCATATGTGTAGCATTATTTTAATTTTAAGACATGTATGTACCATATGAATGCAATAAATATATTGAGTATTCATCTTCCAATATTCAAAGCTTAAAACTAAGATTAAAACCAATTGAGTGTACATAAGTTTATGCACACACACAAATATAGTGTCATATTCCCTTACAGGTAACTAGGCAGTAGCACCATAGTATAATAAGACAAGTAAGGTAACTCCTCTATGTTGTCTGTGTGTAACTCCGTGCAAATGTAACAGCGCGACTTGTATGTGTGCACGCCTACCGCGCGCTATGTACCGACATATCCATTCGCATAATCTGAACGTGCACTCACGCTGCATGGCGCGGATCTTCACACGCACCATTCATTATAGAAATGAAGCTTTCGCTCAATGCTTAAAAAATTATATCAATTAGGAGATATAAAAAAAAATATAATTACGAGTGATGGGATGAACAAGTCGTGCGCCTGCTGTTAATCGACACGACTGTCCGTAACAGCTGCAGTGCCACTCAGAGCAATCGCAAAGATTTGAGGAGCACTACCACTGCGCCCGTCACCCTGTGACGTCAGTTGACGTCACATGTGCCTGTAATTGCACCAGCACCCTTACTCTTCAGAACGGGAACGCAGTAATGCACACATTACTGTTTGGCGGCAGAAATAGGTAAGATTGCATCAGTGGCGTGGCGTGGGGGTTGCACAGAGAGGCAGAGAGGCATAGCAATGTAAAAAAAAATATTTTACTTAAAGTTAGAAAATAAATTCCACTATTTGAGAAAATGATATCCTGAACAATACAAAGGTGGCGACGGCAGGTGATAAAAACACAATTGCGCCGCCGAGCCTACCCGAAGGAACTACTTTTGTAATTACAAAAATAAAGGGGACAGCAAATTTAAGGTTAGCCCCGGGGTAAACAGAAATTGTCGCTACGCCGCGCGCCACTGGGTGGCAGTACTTCTGACAGTATTACATTCGAGTTCATTCAGCAACTCAAAATGATGAAAGATGTGTTTAGTGTTGTCTATGGTGGTTTGAACAATAGCGCCTCAAATTCAGAGTATTTTTTTAGATTCAATACTCCCGTAATTGAGATACCAATCCGCGACGCGAAGTACTGCATTTAACAAACGTTATTTCAAGCACAAGACTACTGTGACGAACATCTTATTTATTTTTATTTGTGTGTACCACTTGACTTGTAGGTCCATCTAAAATAATAATGTGACAACCCTACGCTCCGAACGAAGTATAGGCATTCATGCGTCGAACAGGCGGGAGTTGCCCTACTGGTCTTATTATACTATGATCGCAAAAGTACAATGATACAACTATAACAAATTAAAAAGTAAAATGTAACAATGTAACAACCATAGTACAAAGACACATGCCACAAAAACATTTATAAAACAAACAGAAAAATATAGGTTAAGGTTATTAAGCAGCAATTATAATAATTACGAACACTGCAACTTTCGCTATAACTTATCTAACGGGATAAACGAGTATATTGGAACTATAAAACAGTTGCAGTTACTGACCTGGTCCATTCTCATGCCATCACTAACAGGCCCAGAGTTGAATATCCCCATTATGTGGCACATTACAATTAACACAATGCTTAAGAATCGGATTCCGTATAGCACTTCAGAACCCTCTTTCTTCATCTCCAGCAATACCCTTGCGTTAATTTTCAGACAAAATGACTCTATTATGTCATATTCTGAAAATATAAACTTTTTATTAACTGTGAAACTATTCTTTCGGATCTAATGATCTTATACACATTGGATATAAATCGTGTATATTTGTTTATTGAAATAAATCAACGTTTTGAGTCCGTCCATAGGGCCTGTAAGGCTCAATTTGTTGCTCGCGCATTCCGCGGAAGATTTTGGCTCATATCTAGTTTGCATGTTACACAATTGAGCATAAAGCTCATTATGCTTTGTACAATATCGTTAAAAATATTCGCTTCCATTCCGTTCCGCCGCAATATAAATTGAGCCTAAAGGGCCGAAACGTTAGTTTATTTGAAAAAATAAATACGCGATTTAGATCAGAAAACAATAGTTTTGTTTCCAATTGTAAAATCCTAAGAACTCGATATTTTTGTTTAATGAGTGTATGTTACTTATAAGTCTGCGCCCACGCTTATATAATTCATGTCCAAGTGTATAAACGCCAAAAAAATTGATGTGCACCCGTCACGGAAGTTTATGTGGTCTGTGGCACCCGTCGACACAAAATCAATGTATCTACCACATAAGTCTGGAAAGATAGTCATTATGTTCAAAGAGGTTTCGAAAAGCCGCACTCACTCTCTCCTGTGAAACACATTCCGGTATTGCAGATTTTAACATCACTTCAATAAACTACATCCACGTGAATAAATTTGGACTAAGAATATGTTTTGATGCATGCGCGTAACAAGGTGCTATGGCCACTACATTCATTTGTATTGTTTAAACATGATAAGTAAATAAACATTATACGTACTGACACTGTTGTTACTCGCACATCGATTCTTGTGGTTCAAATAGGTACAAACTATAGTAATTGACACTAGTAAGACCATTACAGCCCTGTAAAAAAATTGAAACTTTTATTGATATAAATACTACTTTAACAACCTAAATCTAATAAAATAAATTAATAAAAAAATAAAATAAAATCGAAGGGAGCTAATCATTTTCAAAAATGTATTTTTAAATAAGATCGACTTTACTTGAAAAATAAACTATTTAATAATTTCATTAACATAATTAAACTAGATAATTTGGAACTAAACACATTTAATAATAATAATAAGGGATATACTCATAGCACCGCATTAGGGAAACCCTGTGTCGCGGGTGCCATGGACCTCATATACAACTATAAATTACACCCAAACTCACGAGAGAAACACGGAAACAGTTTTATTTGTATAAATAGTTACTTACATAAAAGAATAAAACACCGCGTCGTAACGTCTAGGCTGGTCAGGTCCTTGACAGGGCTCAGACACATTGATGCGTGGGCGCATACCGGCCATACCCAAATGACTTCTGGATAGCAACGTTAACATCAGTCGTTCTACGGATTTTGAAGTGCACGACGCGGGTACGCAACTACCCCATGTTATTTCGTTTAGAGGTCTTGTGTATTTAGGGCGGTGCTGTGGACAATGTTATGGATTACTTTTCATCTGCAACAACGAATGCAACCGGCTTGAAAAATATGTGCCAGATAACTATACCAATTGCGTGGTTTCAAACTAGAGAATTCCCTGTACTAGGAGTACCAGAGCAACAGAATTCACTCTGGGACACTTCCCAAATCACCCAGATCAGAACCAATTTTAAGACTTCCTCCTCTCTACGAATATCGTATTTAATGTATGGGAGCGTTTAATGTAAAAATTTTGGATATTTCTAGTTTTATTATTAAAAAGTTGTCGATGTCGATTAACAAATTAGATAACGTACTTTCGATATCAGTTTAAAGCTTTTTGATAAGTATCTCTGATAATTATGGAATAATCGCCTGAGCACACTTAAAGATTACATCCTGTATATGCCACATGATTCGTAATCATGCAGATCGTTGTTTTCAATGTGTCTGTGTACGATACGCTGGCTATTTGAATTTCCAAGACTGTGCGAAAATTCTCGGGAAGATGCGCAACCTATTTTTTACTTGTATCTAGTTTGTACGTTACATGATTGACATAAAGTTCATTATGTAATGAGCCTTAGGAGACAGAGTTTACAAGACAAATATGGGGATGCTTGTCAAACACACCCACCTGTATAAAATCCAAAGCAGATTGATAAGGCTCCACGAGCCCGTTACTACGGCGCCTCGCGACGTGATCAGTTCTCTCTAGTACAATTTCCGCTAAACAGTACTGAGTCTTCAATTCAGGGCTAGTTTTGGACCAGGGAGCGTTCATGCATTGATCGAAGTTACCTAGCTGATAACGATTTCCATAGAGAAGACCTTGTGGTTGAGACGACACTGAATCCCAGTCTGAAATATATAAATAATATGCCATAGAAAAACAAAAAAAATAATGAATGTATGGTAATACATTCTGTATGAATAATAGTGTATACAGTGTGATTTTTTAACTGGAACAGTATAGGAAAACTCGAAATTCGATTTCTCTTCCTGTACAATAAATTGATCCTTGCAAGAAAAAAAATGTCAATATTATAAATTTGTATGCACAACTCGCGTGTGATTAAATAATTTTGTAAATAAAAGTTATTTTCACAAAAAGGACCAAATGGTTCCGAATTCAAATACCCTTTGTCTCTCTCTCATGGTTTCGGATTTCCCCATACAGTTCATACAGAACGGTGGGCATAACCTGAATAAATTAACGGACGCTTCAAAGTATACGAAAGTAACTGTAGTTAATTCTGAATCATAACATTGTAACTAAATAAGCTTGTCTTTCTCTACAAAAATAGAATTTCTTTGATTAAAAACATTGACTTACAATTAAAAACAAGAAATATATAAATTGTTTCTTTATACTTTTATTATTAAAAAGTTATCGATTTTGACTTTGATTTTTATTAAAGAGACTCGAACCCAAAAAAAAGTCGTTCAATTCAAACATAAACGCATAACGTCCTACGCTTACATTTTGATTGTGTCAAAATTCAAAAATTTTTTTCGGATAATTTATCCATATTGGTTATTAATGGATAAAAAACTTGCACACGAATGTTAGTAATTACAAATAATCGCTAGGGAATGAATAATGTTCAGACCGCCGCTACTGCTTTTAATAAAAAATATCGGTTAAAATGAGTTTACCGTATTCGAGGCATTCAATACACCTACTAAAAACAAAAAAAAATTGTTTGTCATGCTTTAAATAACGCCAATCACGGTGCTATGATATTAGTGGTAATATAACTAGCTGTTTTTCAATAATAGTGACCCAATCCAAAATTGATCCTTTTCGTAGGTTTTAGATCTAAAACATTCATTGGAAGTTCTACGTTTTTATAATAAGATTTCGGAGCAAATATTAATATTATAATTTCCTGAGTTTAAAACATACATCAAAAATATTTTAATTAAAAAGACATTAAAACATTTAAGACGCCTACGTATTAGATGAAGATGTATGGAAAGATAACATGAGTCGAGTCGACGAACCCATGTGTATTGAATAGCATTTAAGTTTATTTGAAAAAAGCAATCCCTAGAGTTTCGTTCTTCTCAGGGAAGTCGCTACAGTGAATGTGTAGTGGCTTAAAAAATTGTAAATATCACCTATGGAATAAATGATTATTTGTTTTTAACTTTGACTAGAATACTGGGATGGTTTACAATTCGTCAACCTTGGGCGGCATACGTTTATCAGCTTTTTTAAGCCACCTTCCCGATGAATGCTTTGAGATAGGCTACTACTGTAGAAAGCCATCAATAGGAAGAATACATTATCGTAGCTTTTGTACACACTTTTGAAAATATCAGTATTGTGTTTTACGTGTTTTACTTACCCCAAACCGCCCAAAGAGTGAAGTTTTTCAAACTCCCCAACAGACGTAGCGTATGATTCAAACACGGTATTTCGTCCTCAGTCCAATTCTGATTCTTTAAAGCGTACACAACATCTTCCAAATAAATTGGATTTACATTGTTTTCACTATTATTTTTATGGATATTAATTTCTATTTTTTTTTTAATTTCACTTGTTTCCTTAAAGGTAAAATTTTGATTGTCACTTGTTTTTTGGGCATTGCGACTGATATCAAATTTGGAAGTTTCTTCAAAGTTTTTTGAAGCAAGGCTTTGGATATTGGCAATTACTGAGATTAAAGTTACTCCAATGAGGAAAATGTTCTTCATAGTGGCAAAGGCTAAGACTAAACTCAAAGAAGGAAGCGCTTCTCATTATAAGAGCGACATTACACAATGCAGTCGGTGATTATTGTCGATTAATTACTAGGGTTAATTGATGCCATTGCAGGTCCTATAAAAGGTTTTGAAACCATTTCTTTTCACACACATAAAATACAGAATAAGAGGAAATAAGATTTTAGAATATCTATTAAAAAAAACCAAATGGTTTGTGTGTGAGGGACAGTCTCAGCCACAGACATATATCTAGATAGATAACCAAGATAGAGAAAACCAAGCATGCCACATTTTTCGTACCCACTATGAGGTCACAAGAACTATTTAGTGATGGGAAGCTTCCGCTCTAAATCGATTGATTGAAAGGAATACGCGTAAAAATGAACTTGTGACTGCCTTAATTAATTTTACTAGATGGTTTTCTGTTGGTAATTGATCAAATTGATGAATGGCAAGACAAATGAAAATGTTACTGCTGACAAAATATGGGAAACTCTTATTAATCAGAAGAGGTTTACTTAATGACTAGAATGACTAAACTAGACCACCTTCATTCTCGAAAGCAATATAGAAATAGCAAAATAGATATTTGTTCACAATATTCGGATATTCTAGGCAACGTGCTGCAAAAATTATCGAAATTACAGATACTACTGATAATAGATACTATAAAATTGAAAAAAAAAACGAAACGTTACTAAACTTCATAACAATACAGTTATAGAATATTTTTATAATATTGCTAAGGTCATAATAATTTCGTCCCTTTGTTTTCAAAATCGATCAGAATCGGGAACAGTGTTGCCTAATGTATACATCACTAACTGTTAAATTTGGCCAAAACAATGAACAAGCGGCCGTACCACGAAATTGGATGCATTATACAAAAGCGCGTTCGTTCGATATTCATGGCGTATTAACAAAGGATCACAAATATATCGCACTAAGTAAAAACCGCAATGTATTACAAATCATGAGGCATACACAAGGTTGAATATTTGTTTTCTCGAATTTCATACAAAACCAAAATAATTGTTTTTAAAATAAATTACGCATCTTCTCATTACAAAACCACTTACCCGTGGAAGAAACGTCCCTGTTTACCCGTTTACCCACAGTTATGGTGCATTTGCAGTTTATAATGGCACAATTATGCATTTTTCGCGTTTTCGACTGGTGTTTATCTCGTTAACGGTCGAACGCATTCTGAAGTGTAGCAGCGGCAACTAAGTGAATTTCACTTACTTTGGGAACGCGAAGTACGTACACTTGCGGCGTCTATCTAGGTATATGTCTGTAGTCTCAGCATTCACTGAGCGACAGAAGTCAGACAGCACTGGTTTTTCAGCCTGCCCCCGACTTTAGTAAACATATATTTGCATTTTGGGCTTGTTCCATAAACTTAGAGGACTAGGTAATCTATTACGGTATTAAACTATTAAAATAAAAAATATATAAAAAATAAACATCTCAAAAACCAACCATTGCATAATAATAAAATCTGAATTATTAATTATCTCAATACAGAATACTAAAAAAACCGACCTCAAAAGTGAGTACCTATTATTGAAATATTCCCTAGTTCGCCACTATACAGAACTTGACACAGGATATAATAAAAATCGGTTCTCACTACTCAAAGTATATTGAGAGAGAAAAACGCCTTGAATTGGAGAATAGCAAAACCAACCATTAAAATAATTGCACCTTAAGCAAAATTTAGACGCTATTTATAAAAATGAATGTTCATGCGTGATCAGCCACCCTTAGAGGTAGATGATTTTCTTCAAAATGAAATGGAACCACTATGGAGGTTTCCTCTTTCCAACAAAAAAATATGAAAATCGGTTCACAAATACCGGAGTTATCGCGTAACATACATACAAAAAAAACATGCAGTCGAATTGAGAACGTCCTCCTTTTTTTGAAGTCAGTTAAAAATTAAAATTAACATTTTACTCGTACCAAACAGAACCAATGATTTTCTGTGTAATTGTACGGACTACGGCACATCAGACTACACATTTTTGTTCGAAAATCACCTCCAGTGCAACGGAACAAGATACGGTGTACGGAACAAGGTAATGTGTAGATTGATGTGCTGGCGTGTGTACATCTGAATAACTAATTTTAAATTATTAATGTTTTATTGAACTGATATTAAATTATTTTTTTGTGAAATTACTCCACTAGTTTCTTATAATTATTAATACAAAGATCGAACACTCAGAAAAATTCCTTCGATCCGACTCGAATCGACGTCTTCTTGCATACCGTGACAGGCGCTATACCAACTAAGCCACGGAACGAACCAACGGACCTCTCAAATTTTTCTATGTGCTTGCGTCGTGTCTTTGTATTTGGTTTTTCAACGACTTTTTAGTCGTATTGCCAGCTATGAGAAATCTATGAAAGATTTATCACCCAGTTTGTACCTTTACAGCTACCAGTCCTGGCGAGAGATATCTTGTCATGACTTAGTTGGTATAGCGTCTGACACGGTATGCCAGAAGACGTCTGTTCGAATCTGACCGGATCGAAGGAATTTTTTCTGAGTGTTCGATCTTTGTATAATTATAATTTTAAATTAGTGAATGTCTATTGCCACAAAAAGCAAGTCTGGTCTAGGGGTGTTTCTTTCTGTTCGGCCAGATTACCATTTTCAGTTGATGTTTAACTGTGTATAACTTTCTGTTACGTAATGGTGATGGGAGATTATTCCAAACCTTCGACGACCATATTTAAAACAGCCCCTACGCCCCACTGTTTTGTGCTTAGGGATTACCGAAAGATTTGCAACTCTACTACGTATATTCCTTTCTTGAACGTCTTTAATCCATATAAGTTTATTGAATAGGTATTTTTGTTTATTTTTTGTTACAATAGTGTGTATTAAGCAGGTAATATGTATCTGTCTCCTGGCATCCATTTTTTATGTATTTTTTTTATTGAAATACGGAGTGACATGTGCTCTCCTAGGGATAAAGTAGAAGAAACGAGCGCAGGCATTTCGGACGCGCTGGATAACTTTTGGTGTTTTCTTATATAAACGGGGGCCGTAGAATGTATCACAGTATGTAAATCGTGACAGTATCAAAGTTTCAACCAACAACTGTCTAATACCTTCTGATAAATACTTCCGGATCCCGTACAGCAGCTTTAGCCGGTAAAACGCATGTTTAATTGTGATATTGACATGATCTAGATAGCGTAGCTCAACATCCATTGTCCGGCCTAGGTTTTTTGGCATTGGTACTCTTACAATGTTACTGTTGCCTATTATAAGCTTCGGATTCTAGGTGCGTTTTACAGTGTTTCATCCTTTGCGAAAAGTCAGCCGTTTAGAGTGCATAAAGAACTGGACTTATGATGGATCCCTGTGGCGTGCCTCTACTATAAGTCTTCGATTCCGATTTCAATATCTCTCCCTGTTCTGATTCTACTTCAACATACTGTTCTGACTGACCGCCTCGGTGGCCGAACGGTTGCCATGCCGGACCGCGCAGAGGTCCCAGGTTCGATTCGCGGACCGGGAGAAATGTTTGTGTGGCCTGCATTTCTTTCTCTCGTGAGTTTGGGTGTAATTTGTGGTTGTCTGTGTGTGTGTCCATGGCACCCGCGTCACAGGGTTTCCCTAGTAGGGGCTATGTTGATTGTGTGCGTTATTATTATTATTATACTGTTCACGGCCTGTGAGGAATGAGCGGAACTATATTCACAGCTTGAAATTGAAACGCCGTAGTAACACAGCTTTTATACAGCCAGTTCAAGGTTGATACAGTCGAACGCTCTTGAGAAGTCCAACAGCACGAGTATACTGCCCATTCCACTGTCCGAAGATTCCAGCATGTCATCCGTGACATGTGCCAATGCTGTGTCTGTGCTATGTCCATTTATAAAGCCTGACTGTATTTCTGGTAGAATATTCTTTCTTTCTACAAATTCCGTCAATTGAGAGCATACTATTCTTTCTAGTTTTTTTGAGAAGACTGGCAAAATACGATAATAAGATGGGTCTCAGATCTTTATACTCTTCCACCTTTGCATTTTTAGGAACAGGTTTCACTTTTGCGATTTTCCAGTGCTCAGGGAAAATTCTACTTGTTACGGATTAATTAACAATATGTGTTATAATCGACAGTGTGACTGGTAGAGTCATTTGTATCATTTGTATGGAGATTGTGTCGCGGCCTGTAGCATTTGTGTCGATGTTCATAATGACCCTTGATATCTCCTCTCCAGTCGTGGGTAATATATTGAAGACCCTGTCGGAGTATCGGTCGTGCCTACAAAACTCCACATTGTTTTTATCAGCATCTGAGCTTGTCTAACTAAGAAAGAAGTCATTAATCCTGTTAGGTTCTAGTAAATGATGGGAAATATTCGGTGAGATGGAAGAGCCAGCAAGGGAAGAGATACGTTTAATATGTTTCCACCACGTTTTTATTATTATTTACGTAGAACGTGAAATAAGCAAACTTTTGTCTTTCTAAACCGTTGAAGGTTAATGTTTTTAGTTGCCTATAATATTTTCTGTGCTCTTCAACTCTAGTCTTACGTGCTCTGTCGAGAGCCTGGTCCCTCAAAGACATCATCAGTTGCATGTTAACAGTCAGCCATGGTAGTGATTTTGTTTTAGTGCAAAAATGCCGCACAGGTGCGTGTAGTTCAAACAGTGACAAAATAATATTGTTAAATAGTTGGACTTTAACATTCACATCCTGTTCGTCGAATATACAATTCCAGGCTAGGTTATTTAAATCAGCTACAAACTTGTCGTGTTTTATTCCACGCAAAAGACGTTTGTAATAAATCTTTGGCATTTCTTTTTGTTTTTTTTATGTTAGATTCTGCCACCACCAGGGCGTGATCACTCAAAAGAGGGTTATGGTAAACAGAGACACTTTTGCATACCTCGGGTGAATCAGTTGCGATCAAATCCAATAGAGTCGCTGAAGTATCTGTGACTCTCGTGCACTAATACATGAAAT